CTGAGCAAGAAAATACAAAGACTCTCTGGCTTTGCACAAATTTGAACCGAGGCAGACAAATCCAATCGGTGGGTCTGGAAGACCAATGCAGTGCTTGGTGATTCATTGATAAACACCCCACTGGTTTATTATGAACCCTCTTTGCTTTCTTCTTAACCGGTGACTGAATATTGAGAACGGTAAAGGATTTAACAATGGGGAATGTTGGAATACGCACAAAGGCTTTGACGTAGAAGGTTGTTTTCTCTGTAATTTCTCGCGATTCTTTTAATGGTGGGGTGCTTATACGTGGGATCAACCCTGTATATTGATGGTCGTTATAGGCTAATACTGGCCTCCACCAAAGGCTATGGGGGATTTTGACTATCGGCTCAGGGCCAATGGAGTGGAGCACAGCTGAACGCTCATTTAAGCGTGGAGACACTTTGAAATTTACCAATTGTAACTTAGCTTTTGATCGTGGGGTGTGGGGGAAATAAGTACACATGGGAGCAGCCTGTTCCGTGCTTAAAATCCTGCTGTTCCTACTTTCGACAACCGCTTCTGGATTTTCATTTTCATTGGTAATAAAACGTTATAAGGAGGGACGAGTTATTCTTGAAATATATGGGATCAAACGGAAATAGGTATAATTTTTCATTAGGTTTGTTTTTCACTTAACAAATAAAAAGGATACGTAACAAAAAAAGGGTGTTCAGTTCCCCCTACATGACACGCAGTCTAGACGCTATCCTGTTCCCTAACGCGCCATCATCGCAAGAGAAGAACCCAGCCATTGTTGCATTGTTGGCAAGACGGAGCACGTTGGCTGCGTCACTTTTCACTTGATCCAGCAAGGTGGCGCTCTAACATAGCTCCCCACTCGCTCTTGGAAGGTTGCCAGTTCAATTGCAGTTTGGGGCTCGGCTGATCTGGGAGACCCATCATCCCCGCAGTGGTGCGTAAATGAGTACCTCTTTGAGGGATGGTTGGCAATGTCAACCAAGATGGTTTTTCCCCGACACTGATTATTTGAGCACGGAGACACATTGATTAGATAAGATATGGTATTTCCCCAACGCTGATTATTTGCGCACGGAGACACATTGATTAGATAAGATTTGCTGTTGCACCATTGTTGGGTGTGAATTATCAACAAAACAACATCCGTTGAGTAGGTTTAAAAAAATATATAATTGAACATATTCAAAATGCAATGTAAATACAGTACTATAGTTCTGCATAGTATATTATTTGGTGATATCTCTAATATCTATTCAATTATTTAATAATGTCCAATCCTCTTGCAATTCATTGCTGAATAAATGTCTCTTCATGCATTGTCTTTCGTTGGGGTTGTTTATCCACACTGTTCAATGTATGTATGCTGAACTTTTTTGGCACCATACGTAGCCAACCATCCATGGTGAAGGATGGGAGGATGACCCAGGACTGGTTAAGATATTACTCACCGGCCGATGTTAGCCACAGCCAGGAGTCAAACTCCGGTCACAGGGATTCATTGCGCAGTTTACAAACCACTGTATCATCGCTGCACCCATAATCTATAATATATTAATTGCCTTCAACACAACGTGAAGCTTGCAAACAAATATGTGGCGGACCTAGTTAGACATTGCCTGAGCCAGTTTATGAAACGATAACGAAATACACTGGTCAATAAACACATTCATTATATTTATATTCAAATGAATCCGCTATTTTTGGAGTTACAAATTCAACGTGTCTCCTTTCTCAAGTGATCGTTGGTCAGTGCTCATGTCCACTGGCAACACTGAGTCGGTGGTTTAAATAAAAATTCCACGTTATTTTTGACAATGGCCATTACCTCGCCAGAACAATAATTGCTGACTTCTTTCACAAAGTGGCACCTATCTCATTGACCCAAGAGGGATAGATGGGGCTGAGTTGACCCCTGACCGAGATTTGAACTCAAGTCTTCTGGCTGTGAGTGGAGTACTCTGCCACAGCACCACCATGGATTCATGTACAGCAGAGTAGAACACCTATTATCCGTGCCCTCTATTATTCCTATTACCTGCAGCTTCCCACGGTTTTTCACGTCCTAAATTGTGTAATGGCAAACAACGTCACTGTACTCTAATTGTAAATGTTGTGGGTTTACTCTCCAACACTGGTGTACCAAACTTATTGGCACGTTTCGTTAACGTGACAAACCTTACTTAGCTGGCTGTGTCGGGTGGTGTCGGGTTTAACGACGCATTTATATTTACGTGATCTCACCCAAAAAAATCTATAATGGATTGCTGATCCTATTATCCGCTGAGTTCGTCCCCTACATCGCTGAGGACGAGGAATTCTACTATATCCGTGCCTGACTGTAATATCTTGCGTTTGGTAGAATCGTAACGATGAATGGATACTCCCGATAGCTTAATGTGAAGTCACTGCACTCCTTTGAGTACTTGTTTCTCACAAACGTGTTTGGCTCGTCCCAACGTATACACGACTTGAGAGAGACACACACGCACATACAAGGGCCGTCAACAGCTGAGGAAGTTCGGGGCGTTGAAACAATTTCATTGGTCCACATGTGGAAAGGGTTACGCGTGCACACTAGGACACCAAGCAAACCACAAGGCTTAACGCGTAAACCACAAGGCACCACTTTTATGCTCGTATACCAGTTCTGTAAAAGTGATATGTTCTGTATAGAATACGATGGCTTATAAACGATTAATAGAGTATCGAGGCAACATGTGGCTGACTGGAACTCATGTCGTGAACGTGTCTGAACATCGTGCCAGAGCTGCAAGAGGCCTTTGGATCTGATCTTAGGTTCCCGCCAGAGATGAAAAGAAGGTTTTGTTTGTTTGCGTGTTAGCGAGTTTTACGATCTCAACACGGTCACCAGCGGCGACTGCATGGGAAATCGTCGCAAATAAGAAAAAAATAATTTGCAGTTGCAGTTCACGCGGAAGGGGTATTGGCAGTCCGTCGGCACTCCGCCAAATGTTCGCTCACCTGCACAAAGTAAGACGGGGGGATTGTAAATGCCGTGGTTGTGTAAGATCGCGGGGGGTCGGGGGAGTTGACACGTTACTCTCAAAGCCATTGCGCCTATGTGATCAGGAGCCAGTTAGGTGCCGTGTTACGTCCGAATGCACTCCGGTTTCGGTGAGTGCAAATCAGATTAGCCCTACCAGCAGGCGTGTACCTGTTTGATTCTTGATTCATAGCACGACTACAAAGGTCAGGTGGTGGTGGTCGCGGGGAGTGAAATAACGGTGTCACCAAAAATCGTCTATTGCAATGTGTCCTATCCCGCTTTCTTCAAAGGTGACGGAGAGTTGTGACGGTGCTGTAATAGCCACGAGGTCAAATCGACCAAACGTTCGTGAATTCGGAGGAAGCCGTCACGTGATGAATTTTGTCACAAATCATTTGCCGAGGCTGTGCACTGACGAGAGGTGTGCAAGCACAGCGACGTAGAGGGCCCAGTTTGTCCGAATCATCACCGAAATTCAGGGCTACTTGACGTAACTTCTATAGCGGCTTAGTCGTAAGTAATCAAAGATTGATTGATTTATCTAAAAAAGCTACCATGCAAACAATGTGCAAGATGGACCATTGAAGCATCCAAAGTGCTTGGAGGCTGTCCCTGAAACATCGTGTGAATGCTGTGCACCGTGCCTTAATCCTGCTCGAACGAGTGGAATACAATTCATTACAAATTCACTAAGAATGCCAATCAATGGTACATTAATCTCCGGTAAACATGAACTGAGATGCGTTTGATTAACACAAGCCTTTTCTGGCAAAAAAAAAAACACGTTATACAAACGTCTGTGAAAAACGCAGACCCATGTACATCCCAAGCGAATATCCCACCGCGCGTTCCGTTTGTCAGTGCGGCGATCGACAAACACAGTCCCCCCCCCCACCCCCGCTTACATCACAGTTGTCTCGTTTAGCGCCTGGCCTCGTTCTGAGCCCCCTAGGGCACGTTTGCATGTGTACGTAGCAGCACGGAAGTAGCGGTTCATACCCCCCCCCTCCTTCCCCACCAAGGCATTTCGATGGTCCGTCGCGATTCACGAGTCCTGATTCGATTAAAATCGTTGATTTAAAAAAAAACACTGCTGAATGTAGCTGCCTCGAGTGGTTAGTGGCGGTGAGGTGGGGCGGGGGTCATGTTGTAACCATTACGTATAATATATATAACCCGCAAAAAAAAAGTTTGTTTATTAAACTGGCAAATTCGATGTGTGGATTGTCAGCTGAAATAATGGGTATTAATTGATGAGTTTCGTGCATCATTACACCCTATAACATATATGCACAGACACACATACCTTACACAAGTTTGGATGAGAACAATAATTACCAAGGTATGCATTAAACTTGGCCAGTCTCACCGGTATGATTCAACAGGGTCTTGGTATAAATACATTGTTGTGAGACACCGATGTCCATTTACAAAGGGCAAGGACCTGCTGAGTGGACTGTCAAGACACGGGGACTGGAACTCTGTATTTGTATGTGGTTTTCTATTCACAATATTTATAATAATAATAAGTAGTTTCATTATCCAAGCACACCTCACTGAGTCTCAAGGCCCCTTTTCAATAAGATTATTTTTGGGAATGTATTCAAATCATATTTTGAAAGTATATTGTGTGTGGGAGGAAACCACAGCACCTAGACAATACACCTGTACATGAGGAGGTAACAGGCAAGAATCCGCGAAGTTAGGTCCACGAACTACTTGCTGTACTGCATTCGACCGGTATTGCCACAGACCTGCAGGTGGGTGACCCACGTACACTAGCGTCCCTGTGTGAGCCACCAACCCCCGCCGCCACCCCCCTGTCTAAAGCAGTGAGGTGTGCACTACCTTGCCTGACAAAAAGTCTTTGAGCTGGATCAAAAAGTTCTCCCCCACAAAAGGCACTGCACTCTCAGCAAACTCCTTCATATGAAGATCATTCTCGAGTATTTTCAGCTTCATACTTTTAATATTATTTGAATATTTTGTTTATATATACAGAATATATTTTAGTTGCGCTGTCCATGTCATGTCAGAGACCAAAACCAAACAAAAAAATGAGCAGTGTGGTCTTGTCATGGGTCCAGGAAAATGATTTCGCAGAACTACTTCTGAGGTCGGTCCAGTTGCCTCTTGTCCACTCCTTGTGGGGCACACAGTGTGCGTTCGTCGTTACAAGGCAACACAACGGGACGTTTTCAGTTCTCGGAAGTTGTAATATTCGGAATTATGCGAAGCACTTCATCCAATGCGATTGATTGTTTTTGCATTCATTGGTGAATTGGCCGAGACAGTCAACTTACTTACTATGCCTGAGAAACTGGTTTGATCACGGTGGGTGGAAGAGAAACCTGGACTTGTATACAGAATGCCAGCGGTGCCAGCATAGCGCTTCCTCGCTGGCATTAAGAGCCACCGCAGGCACTGGGCCATCATCTGCATCTTCACACTCGACGAGGCTCTGCGTTCACTCGATCTGGCAAAGGTTCACCGCAAATGACCTCCATGGCCACTCGCAGGCACCGACGGTCGTACCACCGGCAGGGAGTCAGCGGCAGCCGCAGCCCTCTACCACCATGTCCTGGTAGTTCTTGAGCACCACCTTCTCATACTCGTCCATGTAGAGCATGGAGATGGGGCTCAGCTCGGTGGGCACGCAGCACGCGCGCGGGATGCTCGCGTTCACCGAGTTGACGAGCGTCTGCACGATGGCGTGGTTCGTCGAGTTGAGGTGGTCGGCGAGCGGGAAGGGGCACTCGCCCTGGCAGAAGTAGGCGTTGTAGCCCGGCGGCGCGACGATCCAGTCGTCCCAGCCCACCTCGCGGAAGTCCACGTAGAGCGGCTGGCGCTGGCAGAGCACGCGCGGACGCCGGCCGCCCGCGTGCCTCCCCGACGCCCGCCGGGACCTCGCCCTCGCCTCGCCCAACGTTCGGCCGCCCCTCCCGTCGTGGCCGTAGGTGACGAGCAGCGGCCTGAGCCGCGGCCACGAGTCGAGGTCCTCAGGCGAGCGGGCCCGCGGCGGTACGGCCGCCCGGCTGGCGCGCACGTGGCCAACGTGGCCGCCGCCGCCGCCGCCGCCGTCGTCGCCGTCGGCCGCGTCCTCCCCGGGGGTCGGCAGCAACTCGACGAGGAGGCCGAGGCTGGAGCTGGGCCGCCCGCTGAGCGCCCGTCGCTGGAGGGCGGCGCTCACGTCGAAGCTCTCCCAGCGCGTGGCGTTGTCGTGCACGAGCCGCGAGTCGAGGAGCGTCGCCGCCGTCGCCGCCGCCTCGTAGACGTTGACGCGGAGCGGGCGGCCCACGCGCCGCTGGGGCCGCAGCCGGGCCCGGTGGAGGCGCAGCTCGGCAGCGTGCACCCACTCGTCGGCGGGGAGGCTGGACAGGTCGAAGACCAGGCGGTGGCGTTGGTGGTGGTGGTGGGACGACGACGACGCCGCTGCCGCCGCCGCCGCCGATTGGCCGTGGTAAGGCTGCTCCTCCAACGAATCTGCTCGCGGGCGCGCACGTGGGACGGGATCACTGGGTCAGTCGTTGTTGTTGTTGTTGTTTGCAGAATCAGAATTTGTATTTATGCTGGAGGAATCCGGATGAGCTATAGAGCTCTTTTTTTCCACAAATGTCCAGTAGGGGTGGGGGGGTCAGAAAGTTACTACAACAACATACAATATCAAAAACACGATAGGAGTGCAAAGCATAGGGAAGGATTTGATGAAGCCGTGTGGCCAGGAAACACCTGGAAAGAGACGTTGAACTTGGACAAAATGTGGACAGAACATTCTTGGCAGTGGGGAGACGGGCTCACTGTTTGCGCCCAGTCTACCCTGTGGCGGCACAGTTCAGAATCAAATTGCCACTGGTGTCGTTGATGGTCAGAAATCGAACCTGAGGAAACTGGAATCATAAGACAGTGATATTTACAGATTTTTTTAATAAAAATAAAAATCGATATTTATGCATATATTGCTTGGACTTCATCCACAGAGGTGTAGATGCACACACACACACAAAGACAAAGATTCCCTGTGTTGCCATAAAGATTGTTGGGGCAAGTCCTGTTAGCAAGCACTTAAAAAAGAGGCCAGTACCACAAATGAGTCAGCATCAGGCCCGGCCACCTTTGTTTCCCCAGTACTGATGCCTCTGTACATTGAATGAGGTGCTCGTTGAAGGCTGAGTCAAACTAGGGAAGGCCCAAGGCAAAGTCTGATGCCACTTGTCACTGATGCTGAGCTTACAGCTTCTCTCTTGGCTATTCTCTTCCTTCCCTCATCCCTCCACTCTGTCCCATCCCACCCCTACTCCTTCGTGATCCTTAAGTATCCATCTATCACTGCCACTCAATCCTCAATCCTTGCATGCACCTGTGATCTAAATTATTCTCTTCCGTCACCGTTTCTTAAACTACGTGAAGTGAATGCGCTCTTTAAAAATAAATTTGATTAGAATCACAGTTGTGTGCCAGGTTCATATGCCTGTGTAATCAGCATGTTGACACTGATGACATGCATTCAAAGAACACACGTATATATGTTTTACCAGGTCAGGCTCACTGAGCTATATAGCTCTTTTTCAGAAGCGACCTGCCCACAAATTATAGTTCAACGAAGTGGCTTAGAATGTGGACATGTATAGCAGCCAAATACTCTAACCGCATGTTTCTAAATGTGGAGAGAAAAACCAGAAGACCCGGCGTAGCACAAAAGTCAGAACACATAGGGGTATAATACATATATTGACACTGGCATTAAAACATTAAAATTTTTGAAGTTGATGTTTTATCTATTGTCATTAATATTTATTTACTGTTTTGAAATTACATTTCAAATGGTAAGAACATGTCCTGAATAAAGTCAAAAATTAATTTGTAAAAGAGAACGCATGTATGCGTGCATTCATTTCAATGGAAGTCAGTTTGAACATTTGCTAAAATCATTGAAATAACCCTATGTGATTTGTTAAACGAAGTATAATAACCCTACGTGTCCTGACTTTTGGACTTATATATGAGAGATCAGTGCAGCAACACGCATTGTTGCACTGTGCTTTTATGCTTCCACATCTATGCCCCTCCCATGCCGTCACCAAGCACATTCAGATAACCCACACAACGTAAATAGGCCCTCATCCAGCAGTGTATTAACAAAAGCGCTATAACATGCACATGCTCACCGCTGTACGTATGGAAAGGACATATATTATGCAGACACTACATTGTATCCGCGTTGTACAGATGCATGCGCTTTGCACACAGCTCGCTGTATACCCTGCCAGTAGCCTTAAACGTGTTTTTTTTAAATGACAAACTTCTTTTTGTGAACACGTCAATGGACTACAGCTATGAAGGCACGTCTTTCAACGGGGTTTAATATGCATTAGACAGAGGCTGTTCACACAGGCCCGGCTATTTATTCAACACAACTCAAGCACAAATCGACGTGTTTGCTTCAATGTAGATACGTATTGCATAGCACCGGGTCAGCCGCCTTTAAACAACAACAACAACAAAAAAGGTCCCATTCATTAGACTTGACAGTGCACGGGCGTTACTGTTTCTGAATAATAGAACGTGAGGAAAATGTTGGTTTTTAGAAGACTCCAACTCCTACATGCCCTGGGTGTCCTCTGCCAATTAAAACAGCGTCCTCTCGTGGACAAGGCAATCGAATGCAATGTTAATTACATGCAGGGAGTAAACGTGCAACTAGGCCTCGGCAAGGTAAGGTAAAAACAACGAGCCTACCTTTACCCTACCTTTTACCTTACCACAATACAATCACTCTACCCTACCTTTTACCCTTCAGCAGGTAAGGTAAAAGGTAAAAGGTTATAAGCAACGAGCCTACCTTTACCCTACCCTTTACCCTTACCCCATACAAATTACCCGATTACAGGGTAATTACTGGGGTACTACTACACATTAAAAAGGTTTATAACAGGTAAATGCTAGGTAGAGCGCTTTATTCATCTATAGAATACTCTCGATTATTCCAATTTTACACGCTTTCTTTAAACTCACTCTGTCTGTTGTTGTCGTTGTTGTATCCTCAAATCTTGTAACTCAATTTTAACCCACTTCCCAATGTGGTATCGACTGCAAACTTGGTATGCTTATGTCATACTGATGACAATACTATATTCTATCATAAAAAATAAAATAATAATATTTTAAAACATTATTTTTTGTTATGTTTCGGCTTGGGTGTAATTGTCCACGGCCCCCTTACGTTGTGGCGAGCTTCGGGGCCACTTCCTGGAGTCGTGGAGTTTTGCCATTACTCGTAGATTTCATAACAACGTGTTTTAAAAAAAAGTTTTTTTTTAAATATTACTTATTAAATGGAGGCCCCGGACTGCGCCACGGAGCTTTTAGCAGTAAACAAGGCACCGTATTTACCGGGTTAATACCTTGCGCTACCTTTACCCTACCGGGTAATTCTTCCGAGCTACCTTTACCCTACTACCCTTTACCTTACCCCTTGGCATGTCGACACCTTTACCTTTACCCTTTTACCCGGTAAAAAAGGTAAATTACCTTACCTTGCCGAGGCCTACGTGCAACGTTATTTTCCACATACAGAACTCCTCTTGTCCGCGGCTCTATTATTCCGCAACCCTATTATCCGAAACTCCTAATTATTCGCGGTGGCTGGAGGTGGCAGTGAAACCTTCGAAACGTCGCATGTCCACTTCGCCTATCCCTCCTTGTAGGTCGATAAAATGGGTAAATACCACTTTGTGAGACGTGAAGAGAGGGTGTTTTTTTAGATATACTGATCCCCGTCATGGGAAGATGGACTTGTAATCGGTTAAGGGCTGCCAATGGAGAAATACGTGCGTCACAAATTGCTCGTGTGAGTGATGACACACTTTGTTGACTCTTGATTGCTATTGCTGTATTATAAAGGGCCAGCATGGTGAAGTATGGTCAAATAACCCTCCACCATACGACCGGCTTTGACGTCGGGGTGTCCTCAACTATCCAGCCCTCATCCTGCAGTGGATTAACAAAAGGGCTGCATGTGTACATTATAAAAGGAGCAACGTGGCCAATGAATTAGGCCCGCGTGTATCTATCTGATACCCATTAACAATTACTGTATTTTATTTTTCATGCCCAAAAGCATCATCGTCACTATTAGCAGCTGAAGCGGCATTCTCAAATCATCATCATCATCATTGGCAATAGCAGAAGCATCATCATCATCCGAGCGTCATTATTATCATCATCAGCAGCAGCATCGTGCCATCATCATCATCGGTAGTATCTTTGGATTATCATTCTCAAATCATCATCGGCAGCAGCAGAAGCAATATTTTAACGCACATCAGCATTCTCACACCATCATTATCATCTTCTTATTCATATTCATCATTATCATCCTTTTGGTGCACGCATTTGAACCGACAGTTTTCTGGAACCGCTCACAATGTTTCGAGTTAAAGACAATTCAAACTCGTAAAGTAATTTGTTTCATATCCTGGATATACAAAAAAAATGTTACGCGTGGTCGTGTTTTATTACGCGTTTGTGAAGGCCCCTTTTAAAAGGCAAAGTTCGCACACGGGTATATGAGCGGTGGCGCAAGTGGCTAGCGCCCTGGTACAATGAACCCCGGTGATCCGAGTTCGATTCCCCACCACCGCTCGCGTCCGTGGCGAGTGATATCTGAACCAGTCGTGCATTTTCGTCGTGGGATATGTGGTGGGCATCAGAGGGCAGTGCAACGATAATCAGTTGCTGCACTGTACTTCTGTGCCCCCTCGTCTAAGCTACCCCGTCTTCACCAATCGGCACTGACCAGCTTTGTGAAGTATGGTCAAGTAACGTTGATGACCCAAACGGCGCGGCGAGGCCCTCATTCAGCAGTGGATCATACACGTTACCTCTCATACCACGAGATGCCGCTTTAGTCACCACATAAATTTAGTAATATCCGATTTTTTTTAATTCGACTTTCTCATGGAAACATTTCGTGTGTGGAAATATTTTCCAGAGCTCAGCCCCGGACAGCTCCGTCTGTAATGAATCCCTGGTTAGGTTACACTCATTGTAGCCGCTCGACTCCCCTAGAGGTTGCGCCCGACAGCTGGCAGGACAGACAGGCTGCCCTGCGCTCAGTATGACGGGTTTGCTCATCGGCAGGATGCAACGAACACGCACTTGCCACAACTTGCACCACTGTCAATACCATCATCATCATCATCTGCAGCAACAGCAGGAACATCAGGAGCAGCAACAGCGTTCATTCCCAACTCCGCCACCATCATCATCACCACCACCACAACCACCATCGTTATAATTGGCGTTCGCGGACACGGCAGCAAACACAATCCTCTCGTTTTCGTTATTTTCCACCATCATCAGCAGCAGCAGCGTGCTCAATTTGTCATCATCCGTTATTAAAACGGTTAGAGTATCAAATTAATGGACATCGTTATCACCCCCATAATCAGCAAAAACAACAATAAGATTATTCTTAATCCGGCATCAGCATCGGCAGCATTGGCAAAGCACAATTAGCAGCATAACCATATCATCATCATCAGCAGCAGCATTCTTTAAATCATCAGCGGCGTTCTTAATCGATTATTATGATCCTAATCATCATCAGTAGCAGGAGCAACAGAAGTAGTATCAGCAGCAGCACTCTCAATCCACCCGAATGACCATCACCAACCTTATAATGTCGGGAAAAGAAAAGAAAACAAGATTCCAACTCCACACATCAAGATCTGAAACCTGCTTTCTGTACTGCTGACAGGCACCTCGCTATCCCTGAAGGCGAGCGTCTTGAGTATGTAGTCTTGTCGTGAGTTGCTAACCCCTGCTTTACCAGCATGCACCACTATTTTTAGCTTCGAAATGGCAAAAAAAAATGTATTCCTCTAACATTACAGCATTGTGGGGGTGGAGCGGTGGCGCAGTGGTTAGCGATTTGCAGTATTAACATATGGCACCCGAGTTCCATTGTCGGACGCGACTAATAACAGTGGCGAGTGATGTCTAAACCGGCCCTATTACGCACCCCTAAATCCCTCCCTATATCAACCCGCACTAACCAGTGGGTCCTAGAGGCCCCGGGTAGGATACAAATTGGGGGATCCCCCCCCCCCCTTATTCATGAGCTCTGCTATGGGGCTCTCTGTCGCCTGAAACCTGTGGCGTGGTGTAGCATGCTCACAACCTCGCGAATGAACGACAGAGCGTGGGGAGGGAGGCCTTCATCTCAGCGATTGATTCTAACGTATGTACGGTGAACTTCTTTCGCACCGTACGTAGCCAACCGGGCTGATCGGAGGTACACTGCATTGAATAGGCATTGGGGAAAACACTGCGTCACGTGTGCATTGTCTATCATAAGCGACTGACAGGTCACCGAGGTGTGTCACACATCGAGACATCTCTTATCTCAATTGTGTAGATTATACGTACGCGAGGACATTGCCATTCTAGTTGAAGGTGATTTCACATTGTGTATGTCTTGATATACGAGTACACCATGATAAACACGTTGATGCGTGTGTGTCAAGTACACACACATTATACCCTGCCGCTTGTTATATAAATTACACAGAGGCGGTTGACGCGTTTCAAGGAAAAAATATTAAAAGTACTCGGGTATCATTCTTTAATTACTAATTCTATTACATTCATTCTATAATTCTACAGCTGTATACACGGCTAGGAATAATAAAGGCCCATTTTGTCCCATTGTTCTTTGGGAATATTTGTGATCATCGCACTGCCAAAACATTTGACTCCCGCTCAAATAGTGATGCAATAGTCGAGTTCTCATTGTTGCTATGTTGATCCATACTCTATCAAAATATGAAATATTGTTTGGTAGTTTTAACACTGGAAAACACATTTATTTAGAACTGCTTCTTGTGTTTAGTTTGTTGTCCTTCCCCGCACATACGATGCACACGGTTGGCTACGTACGGTGCGAAATAATTTCCACATATGCAGCGTGCAACATACATACCTGACGTGTTTGAAAATATAATATTATACTTTCTTGTATCGTGGCGATACTCGCAAAGTAAGTGTAATATTGCACGCGGGCCGAGTCACCTTTGAACAAGAGCGATACACCTCCACGAACTTTACTCGGGGAAATACACCTCCGATGCCCGATTCCGCATCCCTTGAACGTGAAATGACACTATTTTACTCCGCATGAATCCACCTCTGCCTCTTGAGGGTCTCTTATGTCTCCACCAAAGCAACATTAACATGCTTATTGATGCACGGTGTTTATTCTGCATCTGCTTTATAATTACCTACCATGATAATTATTCCTTTTTTTAATATATAACACCCTCTTATACGTTGGGGTGTCTCATCAGAGTGCTCTATACCACGTCTCATCCCAAACATTATCAACATCATAAAAGGACCCCCCCCCCCCTGCGGTAGCTGTCTCTGTGGGCGCAAAGGTGACAGATACAACAGTTGGGACGATCTGCCTTTTCTTTACGTGTAAACCCAAAAAACACATGATAATTAGAAAATGAATTTCAATTATTGCATTCGACAGATACATCCTAGATATTTCATTTTCGCCCGACAAGAGCAATGCGATGCCCTTGATGTATACAGGATCGTGGTAATCTTTCGCCAAGCAATGTGGCTAAGAAATAAAGACAGACGACCGTCCCTCCACGTACTTTGCTCTATTCCATGAGTTAAGAACACTCCTGAGTGTCCGTTCGACCTTCTGGGTCCTCATCAGCAGATGCAGGCTTTGCTAAACCCTTTCTGTTATGATACCCAAATCTTAAACTGTTGCAAGAGAAACCTACTGATATAAACATATATTCATATTGTACATTATATATAAATAGGTGCTTTTTGATGACAAAATGTTGAACTTCCCTTTTCTTATATGCAATTAGAAAAACTGATATATAAATATTTTTGTTACAAAATGTGCAAGATAACAGCTGGCCGACAGCCCTTTACAACCACTTCCAACACCGCCGTGCATTACTCCGGAACGTGCGTTACGAGATATTGGCCGTCGTTAAAATGCATCTCACACTGCTGCCCCTGGCCGTGCTTTTACACCTCGACGGTCACATTACCCTCGGCCCCCCTATAACCCCCCCCCCCCTTTTACCTTCGTGGTGGAAGCCCCTCACTGTGTTGGCCATCGCCGACGCTCGCTCCGCGAACCCCAAATCGGATTCCAACTCGGACGCGGACGCCGCTCGGGACCCCCCGGGCCCGCTTGGCCCCAGCCCGGCGGTCTGCAGAAGGCGGTAGACGTCCACGAGGTACTGGGATACCGCAACGCCTGGCCTGGGTCTCGGCCGCCTCTTCAGGCCGAACACTTCCAGCAGCCGCGTCTCGAGGTCCTTTTGCAGGAGTCGTTGGCTCTCCGATGATGAAGCGGACGAAGCAGCAACAGCGGCGGCGGATGATGACGACGAGGAATATGTTTTGTGGGCACCGGCGGTGGCGGACGAAAACGCCGAGAGGACTTGTGCACCGCGTTCCTCCTTGACGATATCGACTCGTCCGAACGTTGATAAATCCATTGCCGCGCACGGTGGCAGTGTTGACGGCATCATAATAATCAGCAGCAGCAGCAGCAGCACAAAGCCGTGCCGAGACTCGCTCATCTTGAGCCCTTGCCGTGGGAGAGGCTGTGGGGCTCTCTCAACGTGGCGAGGAGCATGATTGCGCGCCCAAGGGGCACGCTCTTCACTGCGACGACGATGATGACGACGACGGTGATGATGGTGGTGAGCAGGAGCAGGAGGTGGGGGATGCGGAGTGATGTACTTAGAGCAACACCGGGCTGAGATGACACAAGGATTGTCGTTGCTGAATGGTCATCTTCACAGGAGTCCAACCTTGGATTTGAAGAGCAAAGCCAGTCTCCGCATCAACACGTCATGCTTGACCTGTGACATTTCAGACCAGAGTGCAATGAAGAGATGTTGCTCAGTTCTGAGTTGAAGGACCGTTCCTAAGTTAGGACATTGTTAGCAATAATAATGTGGCATCAGAGTGATATGACAATAATTTTTTGATCCAGAAAAGTTTTATTCAGTTTAATTACCCATAAAAGCCTTATTCGGTCTCAATAAATAAAACAATTATCAAGAATGTCCTGCATTTGAACGTTTAACCAGTTTCATTAATTTAATATGCTATATGTATTGCAGTTGCTGTCTGGTAGTTGTCAGTCACTACATTACTGAGTATAATTATTTTGAAGATTGCTGTTCGTGTTTCTGTAAATCATTCCCTTGTTTTACATCTACTATTGCTTCCACTTCATCATTATCATCATCATGTAGCCTGGTGGTGGTGGTGGTTACACACACGGCCTGTAATCCAGCACCGTGGAGGCGGACGGTTGGTGGATCGCACTGAAACGTTGCAAATCTCACTCTTCACTCACTCTCACATTGGGGTGCCATACCACGGCTCGCCAGGAGAAGGCGGTATAGCAAGTGTGGACTAATATCATCTGTCCAATCTCTTATGGGGATAGAGTGTTTCCCCCTTGCATGTGTGTGTTCTCCAGGCGCTCTGTTTTGTCACTAAATTGTCTGAAATATCTTAATATAAAAACGCATACAATTTAGGACTCTTCTGAAAAACCAAAAATAGTCCTTGGACTCAGTTTGGGGCTTCCTGTGTTAAAATAAGTAATTATTATTACTGTCAGCATCATAATTATCGTCACGCCCTGGTGAGAGCCCATTGAGATCAATAAGTATCCTTTTAAAGTCACTTAAGCATGACAGTAAAAAAAATAACATGACAGCGTAAACAAGCAACAATTTCGAACAATATGAAGAGGAAGTGTAATTTTATGTTTTTATCACAAGACATATCTCTTTGAAATTGTAAAAAATATCAAGTTCAAAGAGTTAATTATTGTACGGAATTTTAATTATCTTAACTTTTTGCGGGCCTATTATACGATGTTTTTTAATGACTTTATTTATACGGGCAATCCTCCTGTAGACGTAGATGCCACTGGATCTCCATGTTCTGATGTAGATGCCACCACCATCGTCTATTGCGCGGAAATTAAACTTATGAGTCTCGGTCCGAACAGGCAACTGAACATACGGACAAGTTTGTTCGTATCCCTGAAAGTTTGTAAGTCGAATGTTCGTAAATACAGGAGTCCCCGTAATGCTAAGTTCTTTGGGTAATTTTCCCACACGGAGAGAGACCGGTGGTGTCCGGAGGAAGCCCACACAATGGGATAACACCGAATTTATGAACCGATCAGCCATGAACCTACTTGCTGTACCACCTCTCAGAAGCGTCTCGCCTCCCATGAAATTCCACATTCCTATGGTGGGGACCATCTTACCCACACGACATCCAACAGTTGAAGATTAACAGAGCGATACCAATTTTATCGACCCTGGAGAGCTGACACTATGATGGGTTGAGTCGATCCCAACTGGGAATTGAGAGTGACCCCATTGTAAGTTGAACACCATAACCGCAGCGCCGCCCATCTGAACCAATGCTTATTTTTTTCCATCACCATCAACGTTATTCTATCCACTGCTCGATGAAGGTCTGCCTACTCATGCCCTCGCCGTCCTTGACGGTTCAGCACTGCAACCATCAATCTCGCCCCTTGCACGGGAACTGAACTCATCGCTCCACCACGACGGTCATCAAGCGAACTCCGGTCATCCTCACAGCGGCTTTTTTGATCGTCTGGGGAACGCTCTTCCTTCCGATATTAGGAAGCCACTGGGGCTATGGACGTTCAAATCTAGAATGAACACTCATTTCTTATTAGAACTGCTTTTTCGTGTTTAGTTTGTTGTCCTTCCCTCGTACCGCGGATTTTCACGGTTGGCTACGTACGGTGCGAAAGAATTTCAACATACAGTATATACATACATGCATGGTCGTCTCCCCGTGGATGCGTTTCCCTCCTTTGGCTGCAATTCCATCATCAGTTGTGTCCTCTGGCCGACTGTTTTATAGATATATACAGTACAGTATATAGATAGGGCCTACGCAATACGTCAACTTCTAAGCCATACTCTTCCTTCCCACACCCACCTCTCTCTCATTAGCGCTGATATTGGACTGGTTATCATCCGCCCATGCCCACGGGGCATACCTCACTCCACGTGCAACCCATCCCTCGCTCACCCACCGCAACACACAAAGACAAAGATACCCCGTATAGCCTGTTTGGGGGCACGCGCTGTTAGCGAGCACATGATGAGGGTGGAGTGAGAAGCACCACGCCCGGCCGCCTTTGTCTCCGCAGTGACGATGTTTTTTACACACCGCACAAGGTACTCATTTGAGGCTGAGTCGACCTAGGTGAGGCCCAGGACCGGTTCGGATACTCGTCACTGGTGTTGGCCGTTCGTAGCGCAGCGCGCTAACCGTTACACTACCGCTCTCCACACCGCAACACGCACGTGTCACGCACCCACACACACACACCCCGACCAATGAGTCACATCGGACATTCAACTGAGCGCTCAGTCTTTTTGTACATAGACTACAACGCTCTGTAAATCCACTGCTGGATGAAGGACTCCCAATGCCGTGCCGTTCGCGGGGACGTTTGACCATACATGGCCACGCTGAAAAGTCCCGGTTGTTGAAAGGGTCTGTAAGCCCAGGAGCGGTTCACATTATTACTCGTCACTGATGTGAGCCGTGGTCGGGAATCAAACTCGTGTGGCTGAGTGTCTATCGCATGCGTCTCTCGCGGGCTTCCCTCGCTTTCATCGGATTTATCATCATACTACACGGGCGGCGAATTACTTGGTTCACCGATGATGGGGATCGTGTGCATATACCCTAGCTATTGTGTGGTCAGCACTGAGACTTCGAAGTGACACTGCTCTGTGCGAGAAACAAAATCGACCTCCGGGAAGTAATTTGCATAAGCCCAGATGACATATTTGTTAATATTTGAGTTTTACTCTCTTTAAACATAAACTCGAGTACAGCGCGTGTATATCAAATGTCGGCTTTTTTATTATTATAATTGTACAATATCATTCGTGGTTTATGGCTCGTATAGTAAACCACTGTAGTATGCGTTCTTTCAAGGGAGAAGGAATAGCAAAACGACACCAAGTCTCTCCTGAAGCCCTCTCGTGGCTCGCAGACCTCAACATTGGCATTGACCCACCTCCTGAACGTACGGGCGCATGCGAACGATCGTCGATGCGCAATGCTGTCCGACGCTTTGGTGGGACAGAAACTCGCGACAAAGTCGGCGGAGTTCAAATCCCGAGTCAGCTCATCGCATTTTCCACTATTCCCCCAGGGCCGACACGGCGAGTAAACTACATTACTTTTGACTTAAAACTTGAGTGTATTACTTTGTAGGGATTCTACAGTTGGTTATCGTTGTACGGAAGGGCCGAGCCAATTGCTGTGCGAACGTGGAATTTCCACCAATTTGTGGTTCAGGAGTGTCGACGTCTGTGGCTGCCTTATTGCGTGCATGGTGAGTAGGAATGATCCTCTTTTAATGTTGAGTTTGATCACGTAAATAAACTAGTACGCAGAAACGCACAAGATCTGCGTGCATATTGCAGCTGTTTATACAATAGCGCAAACACAGACGTACTGGACTCGTATGAAGGTGCACTGTTAATGCCCGAAGTTCAGAGAGGTAAGTGAAGGCACATTTAGGGTCCTCTTAGTCCTTTGTTAATTCCCGAAACCCAGAGAGAGGCAAAGGTAATTTTAGAATTCCTAACGGCAGAGGTTCTCAGTGTAGAACAAAGCACCTTTAGGATTCTTCAGTTCGTTGTTCACGCTCGAGGCGAGACAGCCAGTCTCAGACACAGCCCATGCAAGCACGTGTCACATCCGACCCTACGCTATCCCACAGTAATTGTTTTTAGTTTTAACAAATTCGTCAAAACGGTGCGTTTCGAGCAACGCCCATATCTTCATAGCGCATAAAAAAACGGCTTTATAGCAGCACGTGCTTTTGAGAAGGGTCATTGCTTTAAATGTTGCCATATATGTCACGTACAAATCCAGTGTTATTGGAGAATGTGTCAAATTTTTGTTTTTGTTTATCTCCGCTTGTGCACGATTACCAAAACAATTTGTTCAATCCCCACAATGCAAACTGGCTACACGTGTTCCTAATAGGCGCTGCTGCAAAGCCGTGTTTAATACATGCGAATTAATATTATAATTTGCAACTTTACATGCAGATATTGGTCGCCGTGAAGGGAATGTGGAATTGAAATAACGGATTCAGGATTGCCAATATAGATTAACCTGTTTCGTTGTGTGTTTATATAAATAGGGGCACGTTTTAATATTAAATCATAATCGTGGCCGGCCGTGGTCAATCCACTGCTGGATCAAGGCCTCGCAAAGCCTCCACCATCTCACGACCCTGTGGTGTCAATCATCCGCCGAGCATCTGCGCATGAGCTGATGTCATCAACAAGCACTCTGTGAGGATAGTGGACTCGAAGCAGGCACGCGGCTATAAATGCTGACGGCCGGTAGTCAAGGATAACGACGGAGTGGTAGTCGAGGGGAACAGGGAACGAACTTGATAGGACGTCGGCCAAGGAGATGGAGCAATGATATCAGCCGGTTAGCAGCTATTTAAAAAAAAAAACTATCAACTCTTTTTTTTATTTTACCAGGTAGCTCAACGAAGTGGCGTATCACATGGAAATGTAGAGCAGCCGAACACTGTAAACGCACGGTGATTCTAAAAACCGGAGGACCCGGAGAAAAATACTGACGACCACGTGGAGAGGAACATGCAAACTCCAAATATACAACAGGCGTCAGGGTCGGAATCGAACCCACGAGCTCCTGCACACCAGGCGAGGTAGTCAACATCCCGCCACCTGCTAGGGGAATTGCTGCATCGCTTGGTCGTAAATGATGCCGCTTATTTGTCGAGGGACGCCTTTTAACCAGCAGTGGATTGATCACGCCTAATGAAGAATAGATTATAACTTAATCAACACTGTGGTTGGAGCTCTTTGAAGTTTGCGAGATTCAAATCTTGATTGGTGGGTCGGCTCAGCCCCGTTTCATCCCTCCGAGAGGGATATAATAAGTAACGCTTAACAATAACTTCCTTTATTTGTCCAGGAAAGACTCAACAAGTCTCAGAACTCCTCTTGCAGGATGTTCCAGATTTGGGATGTTTTTTCTTTTTGCCAATTCCATGCGTGAGTGTTGTTTGACCCTCAGTGTAAAACAACGAGTGCCACTTTGCTTGCTTCGTGGGAAACCACCAGCAGATGCTCCCCATGCAAAGAACAGACTCGCCCCCGCCACGGCAATGTGGAATCTTCGATACCTTACTCAGGACCTCCCCAACCGAGGTTACGCAACTTCACTAATATTCCGAATAACACGAAGATGAACGCCGCTGTATCTATATATACACACATTACCTCTAGCGGGGAGGAGCGGTGGCACAGTGGTTAGCGCACTGCGCTCATTAACCCGGCAACCCGAATTCGATTCTCGACCACGGCTAACATCAGTGGTAACGTGATATCAGAACCGGTCCTACCCTGCCCTTCCCCCCTCAACAACACGCACTGCCCAGCGTGGTGAAGTATGGTCAGATACTCTCCATGACACACAAGGCAGGCGTTCGTTCAATGGTCGATTGATATAAGTGGAATTAGTTTAAAGTGTGTGTCTAGCTCTGTGTGTGTGTGTGGTGTGGGGAGCGGTAGTGTAGCGGTTAGCGCGCTGTGATACGAACCCGGCGACCCAAGTTCGATATCCGCTCACGGGCAACACCAGTGACGATTATCTGAACCGGTCCTAGGCCTCCCCTAGATCGACTCAGCCTCAAATGAGTACCCGGTGCGATGTGTAAACATCGCCACCGGGGAGACAAAGGCGGCCGGGCTTGGTGCTGGCCACCCCAACCCACTCGTGTACCGTTACCGGCCTTAATAAGGTGCTCGCTAACAGCACTTGCCCCAACAGTCTGTTAAGGCTACACCGGGGGGGGGGGGATCTTTGTCTTTGTACGTTCGTGCTACACACACACACCACTGCAATACGCACATGCCGAACACACACTGCCACAAGACACTTTTTTTTGTAGCTCGGCTCAAGAACGCACGCCCACGCGCGGCGCTCGGGCTCCTAAATATATTCTGTCATGTGTAATTATTTTTTAATATATATCCCACCACCACTACCACCACCACCCTTCCCCCTATCCCCCAACCACACAATGCTAACCCACACAGAGCCGGCAGTCCCAAGTCACACAAACACACATGGCACTGCATATCCAATTATATTATCGTTGTTAACCGCGGTTTAAACACAACAAATAAATAGACCTCTCAGTGTTATTAGGTGTGTCGTGCGACTGCCTGTTAACATTAATGATGTCTGTGAGCGACACCACAAGACAAAAAAAGCCTTAATAGCACAGCGTGATCCATTTATAGATGCACCACTGTCTTCGAACTACTTTCTTCTCGACAGGTGATTTTGATCGAAAGCTGCAGTGTGAAAGCGATGGCTCGGTTAGGTTAGGGTTGAGTGTTTAAACGATGTAAAGTGTGCACGTGTAGAGATTGGTGAGAGACGTACAGAGGAATTGACGTCAAAGAGCGTTTTCTCTTATAATTTATCCCCTTGTTATATTAGTGGGGTGTCTGTAAATGGATCGCCCTCTATATGTAGTAATCTTAGTCCGCCTCATATCCAAAGCAAACCCTTAACCATTGGTACAAATTCCACATTCCCATGGCAGGACAAGTCCACCCACGCGAAAGCTCCCCTGAATTCTTACATTCAAATGAATATCCTTGGGTCTAGTAAAGTTAAAACAAAACGGGCACGTCGCTCGTAACGTTGCAACTCTTTTTACCATTATTATTATTACTACATACGCAGCGCTCATTTCACACACACACGTGTGTGTGTGTGTCTCTCTGATACTGTGCGTGTCCTGCCCGTGTCGAGTGGTGTTTTGTTGTTGTTGTTGTTGACGTACCTTGTCCAATGCAGCGCTTTGATGGTGCAGGGTCCGATGTCACAACGACAGCGGCGAGTGCGCGTAGCCACGGGGCGCGTGCGTGTGTGCGACTCGAGAGCGCTCCGACTCCGTGAGGTTTAAATACAGCCCCCCGCTAACACGAACTGCCCGTGGGGTGGAGGCAAAACGTGTAGGTGGCAGCAGGGGAGAGCCCCAAGAGCTGCGAAGGGGTTGGGTTGATGGAAGCGGAGAGAGAGAGATGATGATGATGATTGGATGCCGCGAAACATCACGCACGCACGCGCGCAAAGACAAAGGTCCCCCGTGTAGCCTCGACAGGCGGGCGGGGCAAGTGCTTGCTCGCGAGCAGCAGCAGCAGCAGCAGTACCTATAGAAGGTTGGCATGGCAACACGAGGTGGGAGTCACCGTCACCATCATCACCATCACTACCACCACCACGCACATCCGTCTTTGTCTCCCCACGTGGCGATGTTTTTACACGTCGCGGCAGGTACTCACTTGAGGCTGAGTCGACCTAGGGGAGGCCCAGGGCCGGTGCAATATAATCGTCGCCGGTGTTGGGCGCGAGCGGGAATCGAACTCGGGCGGCCGGGTTTGTAAGGTCGCAGTGTCGCTAACTGCTGCGCCACCGCTCGTCCCATGCATCTCCCCCTCTCTCTCTCACACACACACAGGACGGACACACACACACAGGCACACAGGACGCACACACACAGTGGGTGGTGCAGGAGTGCTTAGCATAATAATTATACCCCTCATTCACACAACCTGTCGGGGGTTGTTATGGGCTGGCGCTCCGAACTTGCCGTGCGTAAGTCGCGGGTTCCATCTCCAGGCGCGGCAGTTAAAAATAATGGCCAGGTTTCTCTAAAATGTCTCATCCCACCGACACCTCCGCCACCCACCCCACTCACCCATCGCCGTCTCTGTCCACCCAGCGGATCGTCAGGTCGCGGTGTGGTGGGGGTAAAGTTTGGTTATGACTACCTCGTCCGAGAAGGGTGGCGGGCAAAATGCCCTCTGGGAGCTCCCCCGAAGCGCATGTCCCTGCCGCCAGCAGTGGAGTGAGCAAAGCTATTGCAGGGCTGCACCATGACACGATTCACACACGTGTTGTGTGGGGTGGGACGGTGGTTCGCGCGCTGCGCTGTGAACCTGGCCGCACCAGTTTGATTTCCGGCCACGGCCAACATCAGATGGGGAGTTTCATCTGAACCGCTGCTGGGCTGCCTTGCCTTCTTTGTCTCGTATCGACCAGCGGGGTGAAGTATGGTCAAAACATCGAGTTTTGGATCGACGAAATGGGCTGTACGGTTGTTTTTTTTTTGTGCTTGTCTGTACGTGCATCTTTTGTCAGAGCACTACTCGGCTCAGAAGGGTCGTAGGAGTTCAAATCCATGTCGTATCGTTCATGGGAGATGTTTGACCATACTTCACCACGCCGCTCCGAGTGGGTTGTGACAGGGGCTGAAGGGGGGAGGGGGGGTGAATTCCCGATATGGTTCAAATATATACTGTATACAAAACTTTCGAGTCGCGACTGATGTTCGCCGTTAGCCGGGAACGGAACGAATTTCGCCGGATAAACTGTGCCAACGCTCCACACGATTAAACGAGAATGTTGTCACCCTATAAGAAGTGACGTCTAGATGTTCCCGCGGTGGGAATGTGGCATTTCCAGGAATTGACATGACCATAATTGAGACAATACATGAAAAAAATGTAATGACAAAATGTGAGGAGCCTATGAAGACCAGCCTGTTGTGACGCGGGATACATTCAATTAAATACTAATTTATATAAAAAAGACCGAAATTTGATTAATCATCATCGTCGTCACCACCCATGATCAATCCACTGCTGGATGAAGTCCTCCCAAAGCTGTTGGCATTTCTCACCGTCCTGGGATGTAACGATCCACCCAGCACCTGCACTCGAGCTGATTCCATAACTCCCTCTCAGACGTTCCTCTCCCTTTGCTCCAACTCTGGCGTTATTCTAGCCCACTGGCCATCATCCCCTCTTGCGATGTTGCTCTGCCCAGGCCCAGTGACTCTTCTTAACTAGTCAAAATTATGTCTTTAATCTGTGTATGTCCTCCAATGCCATGTGTTCCTCTCGCTGTCTCTTAATGTAATTCCAGGGAAGAATGACATTTATGCATGGGCTAATTTAAACAAGGAACATAAAATACGGTGCAATAAACCAACAAAACAACAACAAGTATGATGGCCTACTTTTAGAACAGGTCGCAGAACATTAACCGTCACCATCATCATCAGCCATGATCAATCTACTGCTGGATGAATGTCTCCTTCAAGCCGTTGGAGGCATTCATCGTCCAATGTGATCATTTACTTCGCACCTGCAACCGAGCTGATTTCACTGCCCCGTCTCCACCTTGGGCGTATTTCCCAGGCGCAGCCAATGGAGGGAACAACGATACTTTACGGGAGGGCAAATATTGTGTTCGGCCGTGCGGCGCTGTGTTCAGAGCATCTGACTCACAACAGAAGGTTACGAGTTCATATCCCCTTCGAGGAAGAGGAGGAGGATATCGACTGAGCCCATCTGAGTCTCGTCCTTTCGGAGTGTACCGAATACCACGTTGCGGTTAGTGGCTGCAATTCGGATACAACTGAGCAGCCCCATGGGAACGTGGAATTTCTACCACTGGCCAAGAGTCGCCAAGGGTGGCGATTAAAGCCCTGGGAGACAATTTTGATGTTGGTGCTTCATCTAAATGTAACACAATTATACTTGAGCATAATACACGAAGTTAGAGTATGAATAGGAACGTACGATGCTTCCACGGTGGTGTGAATGGTTAGCGCACAGGAATGATAAAATCCAGGGGTCGCGGGTTTAATAACCCACCACGGCAGAATAAACTGTGAGCCACATTTATTGTATTGGTATCTCTGTCCACCCAGCAGCATAAAAGGGTACATCAGTTCGTCGATCGGCAGGATGCGTGTGGTGGGGTAAAGTGTGGGTATTCCCACCTCTTCCAAGACGTTAGAATACAGTCCAGAGGGACACCCAAGAGCTGCGTCGAGGGGAGATCCGTCCGCCAGCCGTGGTGTGAGTGGCACCTCCATAAATATTGTTCCATCTAATATTTGAGACCATTAGGGGAGAAACATGCAAGTTTCCCTTTCATAGGGGCTCGCTAACAATACAATACCCATGTCAACGTAAGCCAAACAAGCGTTTAAAAAAATCCAGCTTGAACTATGTCCCTTCCGTGACCTCGATGCCCCTCAAATAATCCCCGCTCACAACGCACACCAAGTCACCCCCCCCCCCCTCCTCCTCCTTGCCCAACCTCCATCCCAAATCCCCCTGACAAACCACCACCCCCCCTCCCAATCGCTAACTCCATCCTCCCTCATCGCCCATCTCACGCGAGCCACCGACTGATGGGCCATTACCTTAAGCCAATGTTGATGCGAGAGCCCTATCAGATCTCCTAATCGCCCGTTCGGAAGTTTCTCAAGGAAACAAGACAGTTGTTTGTGTACACGGAACACCAAATTGGTTTACACAGAGGCAATGCGCACGCACGTACGAACACGCATGGAAGACAGTGGTGGCACGAAGAGAAGGTCTTTTTTGGAAGAGGCACCGAAGGTTCCTCTTAACATGCTAAAGAAGTTAAGGGCGGGGGGGGGGGGTAGCTAGGGTGATGGGTCATGTGTTATTGGCGCGGAGCCTAACGTTCTATAATTATAAAACCTACGTGGGCAGTTTAGCGAATACTTTAAATGCAAGTTGAGCTTTTGTTGCATGTCTTCTCGGGTCGTACCACGCGTTTGTTTGGCACCAGTTTCATCGTTTCACTCCAAGCGTTGGGAGCTTCTTGGGGAACTCAATGCAGCTCCTATTTAGCGGGGTAGTTTGGGGTTGATGGCTGAGCTGAATTCAGTTCAACCGCAAGGATCTACCCAGTGCTACATATGGATAAGTTGCTTTGTAATCGGACAAATCAAAGCCAGAATGTCTCCCCACTCAAAGGAGCACACTGGGATGACCCGCATCTCGATAGGCGGTCCTCAGCCAGAGGTGGAAATTCAATGTTCCCATGGCGAGGTGGGGAGTGCATATATTGGACGACCACCGTTGGCTTGTCAACAAAAGCGGTAGCAAAAACACTAGCTCATTAGTAGAATTGTCCAAACATCCTCATGCCAGGACCCTCCTGGAATAGTCTGGAGACTCGCTGAGGCTTTCGTGGGTAAATACTTGACATATTATTGAGATTCAATCGAGCCCTGTGGTATGAGACAGCTGAGTCATTCTCGACCGGGATTTGAACTTAGGGCTCTTTAGACGGTGAGTTGAGCGCTGAGGATATACACGTTTGTATTATTTACGGTCGGAAGCTTTGGCTAGTTCTTCCACCTACAGCTGTGCAGCAGACACACACTTAAGCGTGCACATTGTGAGTGCTATTTGCGAGCACCTATTTAGGCCACAACCATGCACACGATTGGCAGCTGTGGTCAGTAAGTCGTCAGCACCGCGCACTCCTGATCACCTTTGCCTTCCTTGCATTGACGTTCATAGACGGCACTACGTAGGCTATAGGATGTTAGGCTAAGTCGACCTAGAGGTGGCCCAAGCAAGATTAAGATATGGACTTTAAACGTTAGGAGCTGATTTCCATAGGCGCGTATGGTCCATGCGTCGCATCACGTTGTTCATACATGAAAGTTACATGACGTTTGTATGCAATTAAGTGAGGAAATCTTCACAAGTGGCCAAAAAACCCACCAAGAAACAATATAAATGCGAAGGCGAAAGCGTCACAAAATTTTTATATATTTTTGTATCGAATTACATCTCTGGATCACGACAATTAATTGCATTACCTGGGTATTGTTGATCGTTACACCACCGCTACACGCAAACAAAAAGGAATCCCAATGTACCCTTGGACTAAAGGTTTAACTTGAGCAGGCTCCGTCCCGGGTCAGCGATCCGGATAAATATTTTCACACCCCCCCCTCCCGGCACACCACATCGGGTCTTACCCCTCGATGTGACTGTGGCTGCTAGTCACGTGCCTACTCCGGTCCACCAGCCGACTCGGAGAATAGTCGGCGAGAAGTTAGGCCCAACTTGGACTATCAAGAAGCAAGCACTGTCAGCGAGCACCTATTAAGTTCGGCACGGGGGGGAGGGGGGGCAAGAGGGCGCAGGCGAACGTTGTGATCGTCATGCGGCGCGTTCGTCTTCGCAGCGCCGAAGCTTGCTCACTGTACCAGATACACCTCTCATTTTAGGCTGCGTCT